TATATTGTTTTAGTAAGTATCCAAAACATACAAGTTTCATTATATAATTTTTCAAGGGATCTTATATCTGTTTTCACTCTTGTATGCCTTTCATACAAGTTTCACACAAGACAGATACAAACTTTATAAGATTTATTTATATCTTTTCCATACGGGATGTAACTCACGTACAACTCAGCCGTTCTCACAGTCTGGAAATCTAATGGAAATCGCATGACTCATTACCAAACTTACATGTTACATGTAAATTTCCTGCTAGTTTTGGAACACATTATGCTTATTTTAATGCCTGAGCAGGTATAGTTGAAGGCAGTCTGGTAGCAGTTATGGACTGCTCGTCGACCTGGAGAGAGTGTTTGTTGTCTGATGGCGGCGGTGTCAAAAAAACGTGGTACAACCAGCGCGTGAGCTACTCTCGCTTGTGCTGTTGTTGGTCCATCAGCCTGCTGTGGAGGAGAGCAAAGTTAGAACTTACAAAGAGCTGAAGTGAAACCAAGTGTTAAAAACAATGAAAAGTATCCACTGCGGTCAGTGTCTGTACTTTCCACATTGTATTCTTAATCTTTGATGATTTTTTTTGCCTCTTTTTTTCCCTGGTGAATTCCACTATCGCTCAAGTGACCTTTTTCAGGTCACTTATCATCCAATCAGCATTTGATCAGCACATAAGTAATCACCATAGGTGGGATATTGGATGACTACACAGCAGCACACTCGCTGTGGGTGAAAACCTCTCTCTGTTTGCTATCCAAATAGTAATGCATACACAGATGGACACATTTGCGGGACCACAAATTACACCTAACACTGATCTCACAAATTAGATTACAAATTCATTGTCATGTTTTGGGGCTTCCTACTATGACTGGACAGGTGTTTTCCAGCTCAAATCTAGTCGAGGTTTTCCCATATTCCCATTGTGTCGCAACCCATACTCTCATGTGTCTGCTCTTCGGACTGCATATTTGGCTGTCAGACTGTCAGAATGATCGGGATGTAGCTTCCTGCATAGCTCAGGCTGTGAAATGTCACCTTTTAATATGCTAATGTCTTGGGTCCCCGTGGTGCCATTAGGGGAGAGTCTGACTCGCCCAGACAGGTGTGTTTGTGTGTGCGTCTGTGTGTGTGCATGTGTATTTGCAACACTCCTGATGACAGATATACTTTGTATGCATGCATACACTCATAGACAAATATAGGCCACACGCAAATGTGCAGACGAATGTGTGCACATGTGCCATAGCAACATCTGCACGTTCTTTAGTATGAGCGTGTGCACATCCTCCACGACCTATGTCATCCCTCTCCATCTGTCCTTCTTATGACTGGCCTTGGGAGTCAGGGGTCTGTGGAGATGAGGAGATGGGTTGAATTAATTGTCTCGGAGTATCTGGCAGAGAGGTCTTTTCTACACTCTCAGTGTGTTGAACTTTATATAACTAATGCTGAACTCTTTATTCCATAACCCTACAGACTGTGACACTAAGGACCAGAAAGACATTGAATTGTCTTGGTTAATGCATGCGTCTATGAACTTTATGTCAGTTTGCAACCAGGGAATGAGCCTTGACTACTTCAAAGAGCAAGTGCGGCCCAATGTTTTTTCACTTCTAAGCAGAAAAGCTAACAATGGAGTTACTTGAATAATAATAAGAGTCTCCGTCAGCGGGAAGAGAGAAAAAGACAGAGAGAGAATACACAGTACGTGCACATATGACAGTATGTCAGCAGTCTTTCGCACTGAGGCCAAACTGAATGAAGTAAGGCAAACCGATACTAAGAGAGAACCAACATTTTGTGCATGAATCTGAGTGCTTGTGGGTATCTCAAGGGAATAGTTGATGTTTCTGAATCTCAGTCAGTTCTCTCGCTACCTCCCTCTACTTTGGACATGTCTCTATGAGATCAGGCCACGAGGTTGAGAGAAAGCAAAAGGGAACTGTAGTAAGAAGAGAGATGGACATGTTGGGAGAAACCCTGCTGGGAAAATATAACACAGATGTCTTTGTCGGGACACCACATCTCTGTGCATTTCCTGTCAGAAGTTCCTGTTTTCTTCTTGATCTATTAACTGTGACATTCCCACATAT